TGCTCGTGCTGGTGGCGCTGGAGCTGCTAGAGCTAGTGGTGCTGCTCGTGCTGGAGGTGCTGGAGGTAGTGGAGTCTCTGGAGCTGCTGGAGCTGGTCGTGGTGCTGCTGCTCGAGGTGCTGGAGCTGCTGGCCTGGGGTGCTCGTATTGGAGGTACTGGAGCTGCCGGAGCTGGTGGTACTATCGGTACTGGTGGTGCTGGTGAAGCTGGCACTGCTAGTCCTGGAGGTGCTCGTCTTGGAGGTTCTGGAGGTGCTCTCTCGCCGCAGCAGCTACGCGAGTGGTACACTCAACATTGCCGCCTTCGAAGTGGCGCTGCTGGGGCTGGAGGTGCTGCGGCTGGAGGCGCGGGAGCTGGAGGTACTGGCACGGCCGGAGCTGGTGGTGCTGCGCACTCTGGAGCTGGAGGCCCTGGAGCTGTAGGCGCTGGAGCTGGTGACCCGGGAGCTGGAGGTGCTGGAGCTGGAGTTTCTGGAGCTGCTAGAGACCCTGGAGCTACTGGTACTAGTGCTGGGGGTGCTGGTGCTGGAGGAGCTGGTACTGGTGGTGCTGCACCGCCGCGTCTGTTCTTCGCTCCCCCATCACCGTCGTCTCTGCCGTCGCCTGGCTCGGTGCTTCGCCAGGTTCTTAGTCTCCCGTCTTCTACTGGTCTCCCGTTACAGCCAAGCTCCCACTGCCTGCTCCCTCTCCTTTCACTGAGCAGACAGGAGGTCTTACAGAGCGTCGTGAGCCTGCGTCTCGTCCTGCCTTGCCTGTTCACCCTGGCCGCACTAGTCGCCGTGTTCCTTGTGACGTCCTCCTCCTGTCCCCGGCACGCACACTATGGCACTTCGTCCTTCCTCTGTTCCACAGCGTGTTCCCCTGCCATCTCCTCCTGCGTCCTCTCTTCTGCAATTTCCGAACCCTGAGTCTGACCTGGTTCATGCTGCCAGTCCTACTAATACACGTCTCTTAGCCACTGCTGCCACTGACCCTTGTTTGAGTCTGCTGCTGCGTCTGCCTTAGTCGCTGAGCTTATTGACTTTGCTGCTGCTTGTCGTCTCGACTACGCCGCTAGTCTTGTTGCTAAGTCTGGGTCTGTCTGTCCTCTGTCCGTCGGGGGTGAGTGTGCTTTTGGCACGGACGTCCTTGAGGACAGGCAGGAGGACTTTGAGTGTCTGCAGCCGCTATACCTCATCTCGTGGCCATGCTGCTTGCCTCTGAGGGAGACCCGGATGCACCAGACATCCCGACCCCGCGCTCTTACGCTGAGGAAATCGCGGGTGAGTACTCGTCTCAGTGGTAGACATCCATTGACGCATAGATGGCATTATGGAAGTCCACATGCACCTACGTTGACGCACTTTCCCCTCCTGGGGCGAACGTAGTTGATGGCATGTGGATTTTCAGGGTGAAGCGGCCGCCGGGTTCTCTGCCTGTCTTCAAGGCTCGTTACATTGCACGAGGCTTCAGTCAGCGAGAGGGAGTTGACTTTTTCCAGACCTTCTCCCCTACCCCAAAGATGACCACTCTTCGGTCGTTGCTGCACATCGCCGCTCAGCGTGACTACAAGCTTCACTCTCTTAACTTCAGCACAGCTTTCCTACAAGGCAGCCTGCATGAGGAGATCTGGCTGCGCCGTCCACCTGGCTTCACTGGGTCGTTTCCTGCAGGTACCCAGTGGAGCCTCCGACGGCCAGTCTACGGTCTCCGCCAGGCGCCTCGTGAGTGGCACGACACACTGAGGACGACACTTGCGGCACTTGGGTTTGCTCCTTCGACTGCAGACCCATCGCTGTTTCTCCGCACCGACACTTCGCTGCCGCCGTTCTATATCCTCGTGTATGACGACGACTTGGTTTTTGCCACTGCTGACACTGAGGCACTCGCCCTTGTGAAGTCGGAGCTGCAGAAGAGACACACGTGCACAGACCTGGGTGAGCTGCGCAGCTATCTTGGCTTGCAGATCACCCGGGACAGAGCACGACGCACCATCACCCTGACTCAGTCACACATGGTGCAGCAGGTCGTTCAGCGCTTCGGCTTCACTTGCTCCTCGCCACAGTCCACTCCTCTGGCTACTGGTCACTTGCTCTCAGCTCCACATTCGGACGAGTCCGTAGAGCCGAGTGGCCCGTACCCAGAGCTAGTGGGCTGCCTCATGTACCTGATGATCTGCACTCGTCGTGACCTTGCGTACCCTCTTGTCCTTCTGGCACGCTACGTGGCTTCTGGTAGGCACCGAAAGTTGCTGTGGGATGCTACAAAGAGGGTACTGCGTTACTTGTGCAGTACATCGGGCATGGGGCTCGTGCTTGAAGGGCGGGGTCCAGTTGTCCTCACTGGACACTCAGACGCTTCGTGGGTTGACGACCTGACTACGCAGCGGTCGTCTCAGGGTTACTCGTTCAGCCTTGGCTCCGGCTCTGTTTCTTGGCGGTCTACCCGCTCGTCTTCTGTTCTCAGCTCCAGTTGTGAGGCTGAGATCTACACGACAGCCATGGCTGCACAGGAGTTACGCTGGCTCACCTACCTGTTGACCGACTTGGGAGAGCGGCCTCGTTCTCCTCCAGTTATGTACGTAGACAACAAGGCTGCAATTGCCTTGTGTCAGGAGCACAGACTGGAGCACAGAATGAAGCACATCGCTCTGCGTTACTTCCTTGCTCGAGAGCTGTAGCAGCGTGGTCAGCTTCGCCTTGCTTACGTGGCCACTTGGGCCAACATTGCTGATATATTCACCAAGGCACTTCAGCCTTGTGATCATCAGCGCTTTTGTACTGTGTTGGGATTGTGCCTGTTTTGCTTCACTTGCTCACTGCTTGACTTTGTTTGTACTGTGACCTATGTATATACCTGCATGCTTACACTTGCTAGGTAGTGATCACTGTACTGTTTGCTGTCTTTTATATAACTTTGCATGTGGACCAGGGCTAATTTTTTATTTTAAGCAACCCTTATCATCAGTCCTGCACCCTGAATATCATTGTGACCCCTTGGGAAAATTCTTTTCCATCAGGGTTTTCCATAGTTTTAAGAAATTTACCCTTAGGCCACAGTGTTACAATTTTAAGAACCCTGATGAAGTGTTTCTACTGAACTTATGAACAAAATTGTTGACTACAGGACTCGATTCCGGGTCTTCATCCTTCCGCAGACCAGTCCACCGACCGGGCCACTCCAACGTGACTCGTTATATAGCATGCTCAATTACATCATATTCCTATTTACCGAGACAAAAGTGCGAGGGTGGACTTGTGGGGAGGGGGAGGGGAGGGGGAGGATATGGTACTCGCTTCAGGGTAAAACTCGTTATCAAGATCGGTAACCCTGAGTCATCAGTGTACCTTAAATGTAAACCTTGGCATATCAGGGGAATCCTAGCTCTCGGAAAATTTACCTTAGGCCATCAGTGTGACTACCAAAAACCACCCTGATAATCAGGGTATCAGGGTGATTTACACTGATAAAATTAGCCCTGATGTGGACCGGCCCTGTGGCCATTTGCTTGTGCTCAAAGTGTGTGGTGACTTTGTGATCCACCCTGAGCTTACTTTGCTTTTCTTGACTGGTCTTGTGACCCCTTGTTCTCCCCCAATTTGCCTATGGGGGTGTGTCAAACTATAATGCTACTTGTGTTGTGTGGGCTGTAGTGGGGTAGCATTTATGGGGTACAACCCAATTAGGGTTATACTTGTACTCAGTTTGATGTCAATGCAATCATTCCTGCTCGTTAATTTCTGACAAGTACTAGTAACAGCTACTCACTTGACTACTCATATAGCCCATTTTTATAGAACGGTAAGGCTCTGCATTGCGTGAATTTGCATGTGCATGGGTTGTAAGATCCTTTGATAAATAACTGAGTGTACAACCACACAACTGAACGTTTTAAAAACCAAACCAGCACAATTGTTGTGTTACATGGGTGCGCTTCTACACCCCTGATGATTCAGTATTGTATAACTTTTGTCAGAGTACGTAAACCTCTACAAACATTCGTCAAGCCAGGCTTCCCTGCAGCAGATGCAACGCGTTGAAAGAAAGGACTCTCTCTACTCTAGGAGAGAATGTTTTTAAGGCGCCTCACAAACAGACTCTCTACACTATGAGAGAAATCTCATTGAGAGGAAGGGAAAAGGCATCTCATTACGTGGTAGGGAGCAGGGGTGTCACTGAGAGGAGGGCAGATTAGGCCTACGGTATCACTGACACGGTAGAATGCAGAAACCATCCAAGTTGAAGCATGTGCAGTGCAGGTGACACCGCAGTGAGTGCAGGTGACACCGCAGTGAGTGCAGTCATCCATATCATTCTACTGAGTGCACCAAACTGAGCCAGAAATATTGACTGGCCAGCCCCTGGTTAGTGATAACAAGGGGAGAACGAAACGGATAAGATGGGTCACAAATGCTGCCTTTGATGTTTGATGCAGAAAGGGAAGCGGGAAAGCTGTGCAGGGCCGAAGGCGGGTGCGGGTGGAAAGAGAACAACGGCTCACTACTATGTGTGCGACAAAAGGGCATTCTGCAACGAATCAAATACTTACATTAGATATTGTGCATAAAAGGGTTCGGTGATCGTGAATTCAGGGGGCGGCTGGTCAACACCCGTACCTTGGCAGTTTTCTGCTGCGTATTGTTTACACTTGGAGCATTTTGGAGCGTCGTCGATGTTTTCAACGGTATACACTGCCCAGACCGTGCCAACGACTGCAGGCGGGTATGAGGAGCAGGCGTTAAGATTGGCCCGGAAGGTGTAAGGCCGAGACATGCTGTCCTTGGCGGTTCGATTCACAATGAGTGTTGTGCTGTCGGAACAGACGGTGGGAGGTGCATCTGCGAAGGAGTGGGAGGAGTGGGAGAGGGAATGGGAGCATTCATAAGTAAGTTCGTACATTGATAAACAGACACAATGCCACATTGGGGTTTTGAGACGTATCAGAATGTTAAGGCTTCGCAAACACATTCAGACATAAGAACATGCATTCATGCACGCAATGTTGGATTCGCTATGCTGGTTCAGCCAACTTGACAGAGAGAGAAAGGTGAAGGACAGAGTGGGGTGGGTGGGGAGAGTGGGGAGTGGGGAGAGGGGGGAGTGGGGAAGGGGAGAGTGGGGAAGGGGAGAGTGGGAGAGGGGAGAGGGGGGGGTGGGAGAGTGGAGAGGGGGAGTGGGAGAGTGGGAGTGGGGAGAGTGGGAGTGGGGAGAGTGGGAGTGAGGAGAGTGGGAGTGAGGAGAGTGGGAGTGGGGAGAGTGGGAGTGGGGAGAGTGGGAGACGGAAGAGTGGGAGACGGGAGAGTGGGAGACGGGAGAGTGGGAGACGGGAGAGTGGGAGTGGGGAGAGTGGGAGACGGGAGAGTGGAAGACGGAAGAGTGGGAGTGGGGAGAGTGGGAGTGGGGAGAGTGGGAGACAGGAGAGTGGGAGACGGAAGAGTGGGAGACGGGAGAGTGGAAGACGGAAGAGTGGGAGTGGGGAGAGTGGGAGTGGGGAGAGTGGGAGACAGGAGAGTGGGAGACGGAAGAGTGGGAGACGGAAGAGTGGGAGACGGAAGAGTGGGAGACGGAAGAGTGGGAGTGGGGAGAGTGGGAGTGGGGAGAGTGGGAGTGGGGAGAGTGGGAGACGGAAGAGTGGGAGACGGAAGAGTGGGAGACGGAAGAGTGGGAGACGGAAGAGTGGGAGACGGAAGAGTGGGAGACGGAAGAGTGGGAGACGGAAGAGTGGGAGACGGAAGAGTGGGAGACGGAAGAGTGGGAGACGGAAGAGTGGGAGACGGAAGAGTGGGAGACGGAAGAGTGGGAGACGGAAGAGTGGGAGACGGAAGAGTGGGAGACGGAAGAGTGGGAGACGGAAGAGTGGGAGACGGAAGAGTGGGAGACGGAAGAGTGGGAGACGGAAGAGTGGGAGACGGAAGAGTGGGAGACGGAAGAGTGGGAGACGGAAGAGTGGGAGACGGAAGAGTGGGGAGAGAGGCGATGGTGGGGAGAGGGGATAGTGGGGTAGTGGGGCAATACACGAATGGGAGTGTGGAGAGGAGACAGCAGGGCGAGTGAGAAGAGAGTGGGGCGAGTGAGGAGAGAGAGAGAGGAGTCTCACCCTTGACACAGCCGGTGGCCGTCAGGCCATAGCCTTTAGGGCACGCGCAGTAAGGCACCGGCAACACGCCAGAGCCAGGGTTTTGCACGGTCTTGCAGGTGGCTCCAGGGGGGCAGGTGCCACAGAGTGAGTCTGAGGGGTGGGGATGGGTGTAGTGCGGTATGATTTCTGAGGCGCCTTCAAACAGCAGTAAGGCACCGGTAACACGCCAGGTCCAGGGTTTTGCACCGTCTTGCAGGTGGCTCCAGGGGGGCAGGCGCCACAGAGTGAGTCTGAGGGGTGGGGTGGGGATGGGTGCAGTGCGTTATGATTTCTGCGGCGCCTCAAATAGCAGTAAGGCACCTGCAACCCACTGTTGTCAGCTGCAGGCATGGTCTTGCATGGTCTTGTCAGTCTGAGGGGTGGGGATGGTTGCAGTGCGGCATGTGAGTGCAATTGCTGGTGGGGGTTTAATATACCATGTACGAGTGAATGGCTTCGAGTTAGAAGTGCAATAGAGCCCCAAATAGGAGCCATGTCTTTACGTGGCTGCGACTGATTCAACTGTAAATGTTGTTGTTAGTAAAAAGTTTGCTTTGAAATCCTTGTAGGAAATTTCGGCGGTCGAGTGAATGGCTTCGAGGTAGAAGTGGGAGAGCAGGAAATTCATACTCACCCCTCTAACAGGTATACCACTCGTTAAACTCATTACAGAGCAGGAAAGAACTCACCTCATATGCAGGCAGAACAGGAGAAGACGTTACAATGGCAGAGCAGGAAAGAACTCACATTTACCCCACTAGCAGAAACGCGTTCCGTTCGCATCCGCCTCACATTTGCCATCAGGCTCACAGCACTGAATTGAGGTGGGAATGCGAAAGCCAGAACCCCATCCTCACACTACTGGCAGGAATCCCTCCCATGCTCACCCCACCCCCACAGGCAGAAAGGCCATGCTCACCCCACAGGCAGAAAGGCCATGCTCACTCACTCACCCCACTTGCAATAGCGCGTTCCGTTCGAATCCACCTCGCATTTGCCACCCGGCTCACAGCCCAAAGCGGCACAGGCAGGATCTGCAGCAGCAGAGGCGAAGCAAAGGGGGCGGCAAACGAAGGTATGAATGCTTATGGACGACTTATGGTATGAATGCTTATGGACGACTTAAGGGCATCGGAATGGCAGGCTGTGTGCGTGACAGAGGCAAGGCTGTGTGCGTGACAGAGGCAAGGCTGTGTGCGTGACAGAGGCAAGGGGGCGGTGGACTGAAGAGACATTGCCCTTCAGAGGAAGGAAGCGTAAATCACGTTCTTGAGAATCACGTTTTTTAGAATCACGCTGTTCAGAATCACACTGTTGAGAATCACGTTTTTGAGAATCACGCTGTTGAGAATCTCGCCCATCAGAATCACGCCCTTCAGAATCACGCCCTCTGAACGTACCACTGGTGCTGCCGGTGGTGCTTCCAATGCTACCGGTGCTGCCTGTGGTGGTGGTGGTCTCTTGCGCAATCCGTGCATTGGCCTTCCTGCTCGCTGTCTCCGCCTCTGTGCCTTCCCCAAACGCTCCTTTCAGCTTCGTGCTTCTCAGCAGGCTACGGTGAGTCATGATGCTTTTCACTGAGTCGTCGCCACGCGCTGCCTTCATCATGTGAGCTGCTGCAGAGGACAATGGAGAGGGCGTGCGGAGAAGAGAGAGAGCAGATATGAGAGGGCAGAGGGGGAAAATTAGAGCCTGAGGGTGCGGAAAACGAAGCGAGAAAAAGAGGAGGGAACAGGGAGAAAGGCTTAAGGGCAAGGGATGGCCACAAGTCGAAGTTGTTACAGCCATGAGTCAGAATGTACTGAGAGAGCAGCGGACTGACCGGCGATGAGGGCAAGGGCGAGCAGCAGGAGTTGGGCAGGAGAGGCGCGCATCGCCCTCATGATGATGATGACGGCGGGGGTCCCGCAGGAGAGACGATGGAAGAGTGAAAGAGGCGCAAACAGAGGCGCAAACAGAGGCGCAGACAGAGGCACAAAGGCGGAATAGAGGAGCTGTGTGCTGTCACGTGGGAGTCATGTGGGAGTCACGGGTGTAGAGTAATACTGATAGGGATGGGAAGAATAGTAGCGTTGCTTTCCAAAGCTGGAACTGAGACTCTGCTGGGCTGAGATTTATATTGCGAGCTTACGAGCAAGATTCAGCATGGCAGCCGGCGCGCGCGCCTCGTCACGAAATGTGCCACATGATATTATTGTAGGAGCGCTTCGGCTCCAATGAGTCACATATAATTACAGAGCGCGCCGTTGGCTCGGCAGCCATCGGTCACATATAATTACAGGACCGCGATACTATGCAATACTGCGGGCTTGGATCGAGTGACTCTGAATCTTGAAAATACCGCAATGCGTGCGACGGTAGTGATTGGCAGTGCTAGACTCGAGTGAATCGCAGGGACAAAATAATTGGAGGGGTGGTAAAAATAATATAATGCGCCGTCGTTAGCGAAACACAAATCAAAGGCGCAAACGTGGTGCCACCCTTCGCTTTTTTTTTTTTTTTTTTTTTCCTTTTCCATCCTGCTTCGCTCCCCCCCAAAAAAAAACTCCACGACCTCTCCGCCACCTACCCCCCGACTATGTCGCCACCTAGGCTAACACCTAGGTTTTTACCTATCGCGGATAATCGCAGCCCCAGCTTACTTGCCTATTCCACCGTTCGACTGTCAAACCGTCGCCGATCAGGCTGGTTCCCGTCACTCGACATCGTTTCGGCGTCAGGTAAGTTGGTCCTCCTCTTCGGTCTGCTTCCGCTGCTCACCTCGCTATCCTTTCCTAACCTCACGCCGTCATGCAGAGCTCAGGTCGTAGCAACTCCAAGGCCAAACCCGCCCTTTGCTAACACCCTACGCCTTACCCCGACCAGTTTCGCCTTTCGCTCACGCTCGCGCTCTCGCTCGCTCGCTCTCAGTTTCTCTCTCGCGCTCTCGCTCATCTGCTCTCGCTCTCGCTGCCACCTCGGAGCATTTCAGAGTTGCCGGAAGCCCTCTCCTGCCTTCGCGCCGCCGACGGTTAATCGGCCGCATAAGCACGCGCTGCTTTTCATCGCTCCGCTTTTCGTGTTCGCCCACCCTTCACGCCTCTCCCTTTTTTTATGTCAAGCATGCCGTCGTTCACAACGAGGCTTGACCGCGCGCCTCGCCTCCCTGACGCCCCTTCGCGAGTCGCGTTGGCGCCACCCCTGCGGAACGGAAAGCCTCCCGCACGCCCCCCTGCAACGCCCTTCCCGCTCTCTGTGTGACTGCGTTGGCGTCTCACCTTCGCCGTACTTCTATTTTTGGCAGCGGTGGCAGCCCCAAGCGTGTCCGCGCAACCACTCTCGCTCCCCTCTTCAGGTAAGTAGTACCGCGCACCCTCCAGCCTTTCTCAGTCGGCACCGTATCAAGCCACATGATCAGTCGTTTTCCCTGCCTTTCTGCAATGACGCTCTCTCTATCGCTTCGCTGCTCCCAATTTCACCTCAACACCCCTGCCTATGTGCATGGTACTCGGGCTCGGAATGCCGATCAGGCTGCCAGCCCACTCTCGTGAATCGCTGTGGCCAACGCCTGTGCGTTCACACCCCCTCTCTAGCCACTGCTGGCGCGTGGCCTTGTGCTTCGGGAAGCCTATCGGGCCCCCAGCCACCTCTCTTGGACCGCCCTGGCTCCCTCTCTAACACCCCTGTCGCGTCTGTTTCACCCTTCATTGTCTCAGCTCACGACACCCCTCTCCCCCCCTCTTCCCGATGCTTCCAAGCCACCTACCCTCCCAGTCTCGTGCCCTTCGTCGGCACGACGCCGTCCCCCCTTCTCCCTCCGGGTCGGGCTCGTTCCCCCCTGGTGACTCCCACAGCTCGCCTCATCCTTGATCTCCCACCTTTCAACATGCTGCTATACCGCCCCCCCGTTCCCCCGGATCAGCCTCCCCCCCTCATGCCTCTCAGGCTCCACTCTGGACCCTCAGGTGCCCCTGAGACCCTGCTGCTCCATCTCCCACGCCCTCCGCATCCTCACTCCCGTTGTTCCATGCTACTCTCATTCTGTGCTCCAGGCAGATCGCCTTGCTTCCTCGGCTTCCAAGAAGTTTCCCTCCCGTTGGAGACCTATCCTCCTTTGCCTGCAACACTAGTCACCTCTGCTGCCCCTTGTCTGCGTACCCCGCGATACTGCACAGCAGTGTTTTACATGCTGCCGTGTCAGATAGGTTTCACTTGTGATTGTGCATTAACTAGCTACAACCTGTTTGTTCCTTGTAGCTCCCTACCTTGTAAAGAATCTAGTTTGAAACTTTGCTACCAGTATCTTGCCTCACACTTCTCCCAATACATATTGGCAACACTGCCTAGTACCGCATTGTCACTTATTTATATCAAAAGCCGAAAAAGGGGTCGAACCTTTAACAACCATAGGTACCACTCACTAGCACCCAAGATCTATTTGTCTGCTACCTTGCCACACTCCGCACCCGCTTTGTTCCACCTGTCAGCCTTGTGGGGTAGTTACAGTGACGCTCACTCAAAGCTAGCTCGCACATACACTACTATAAGCACCCCCTCCATACGCTTACCGCTCTGGCAGTCCTCGGACTCCAAGACACTCCGCATCTTTCGCACGCTGACATGCAACCAAATGTCGCCACGATACCATGACCCTCACCATGCCCTGCACTCCACGGGCTTCGCCTCTTTTCCAAGCACTGGCCGTCACAACTTCCTTCCTAGGCCGTGGATACGCACGATCTCCCGTGCGGTGGCCTTCACGTCATCGCCATGTTAACACACCTCCGCACTCTTTGCGTTAACGTGAACGGAATCAACGGGACCCGCAAAATGGATGAGCTTAAGTCGTGGCTCTCGAGACTTCCTGCCCCCACTGACCTGGTTGTCCTCATCGACACCCGCCTCATCCGAAGAACCACCAACCTTGACCTAAAGCTGCGACCTCACGCCCCAGCTCTTCTCTCTACCGACAGCGCCACAGGAAGGCCCACTCTCATTGGTGGAGTCTCCATCCTATCTTTTAACAGGGCCATCTCTCTGTCCTCTCCACTTCCCTCCGCAGACGGCAGACTCATCACCGTTCACCTCAACTATCTCCGCGAACAAATCCGCCTCATTGCCATCTATGCCCCCACACAATTCTACAGACGCCGGATATGGTGGACGACCACTCTCATCCCGGCACTGGAAGCCCCCACCGCCGCCTCGGCATCCATGCTTGTCGGCGATTTCAACTCGGTCATCCTCCCCATCGACAGGAACCGCCCCCCTGAAGACTTCGAGGCTCGAGAAGGAGCTTCCTTCGCCAAACTTATGGACAACCACGCATTGGTCGACACTTTCCGTGCACTCCACCCCACGCCTACCGACGTGTTCTTCTTTGGGAGGCAGCGCCACAATATTGCGACACCGCCTACATCCTCCCGTCTCGACAGGATGTACATTTCCCGTGCCTTCCTACCCCGCCTCACTGCAAGTCCGTACATCCAAACTAACACGCTCCTTACGGATCACTTGTACGCCCCTCTCTGCTCGCTCAGCTTCATCAATCCTACAGTCGCCCCTCGTCCCTGGCGACTCCGTCAACATCTACTCATGCGCCCCCATGTTGCACAAATCGTCGACTCCGCCCTTACGGTCTTCCCCTCATCCCCGTCCCCGGACTCCTGGGACAGCTGGAAGCTCGACCTCACACTGAACCTCAAGCGCTTCTCCAACCAGGAGAGACGTCGCGTCGACGGCACGACTGCACATCTGGAACTCATCATCGGCTCGTTACAACGGCAAGCAGCCTACACACCCCTGAACAGGGCCGAGTCCGACCGCCTCGACCAAGCACGTCTCCACCTGGCCAGATACGAAGCCTCGAAAGCCTCCGAGATTGCGTCAAGGCCAAACTTAAAGTGGAAGGGCATAGGGAAATGGGAGTCTCCTCCCTCCTCTCCGGACTCAACTCGCGAATCAAGGGCTCGATTATCAGCTCCCTGACCCTACCTAACGGACAGACCACGTCAGACCTCTCCACCATGACCAGCATGTGCTCCAGCTTCTTCCAATCCCTCTATAGCGGGAGCAACCCTGCTACCCCGAACTCTTCCTTCTGGCAACATATTCCCCCCTCCTCCATCCCGAACCCCTTACTCCTACGCCTCAGCGCCCCCTTCTCCCTAGCCGAAATTGGAAAAGCGGTGCTCTCTCTGTCTCGAGGAAAAACCCCTGGCCCAGATGGCCTTCCCGGGGAGCTTTTCCGGCATTTCGCCCCACGATTTGCACCGGCTTTCCACTCCTTGCTGTCCCCACCACAGCCACTCTCTCGCCTCCCTCCGTCGATGCTGACCGGACGCACCGTCCTTATCCCCAAGAGGGGAGACTCCTCGCTAGTGGAGAACCTCCGCCCCATCACCCTCATGAACGCTGATTACAAAGTCCTCGCTCTGTGTCTTGCTAACCGCCTTCAGCTAGCTCTCCCCCAGCTCATCCACCTATCCCAAACCGCCTTCATTAAACACAGGAAAATTGGAGACACAATCAATGATACCCTCGATATCATGGACTGGGCGGCCTACTCCTCGGCCCCGCTCCTCGCTCTTACGGTGGACTTTCGAAAGGCCTATGACCTTGTTGACAGACCATTCCTCCTCCAAGCCTTAGCGGTCCTCGGTCTCCCTGCACCCTTCATCCATTGGGTACGACTAATGCACTCCGACACGTCCACACGAATCTCGGTTAACAACATGCTCGGCCCCACCTTCCCCGTCCGTACGGGCGTCCGACAGGGCTGCCCTCTGGCGCCTCTGCTCTTCGTCTGTGTCATCGAGATCTTCCACCGCTACATGTCCCTCTTTCTCCCCGGCTTCGCTTTGTCCCCTGCCCAGCGCCGCCTCATGGCATGCTACGCGGACGATGTCACTCTCTTCCTCACCTCAGACTCAGAGCTCGGCCTCGTAGTGATGCTCCTAGGGGTCTTTGGATCTGTGTCCGGGGAGGTCCCCAACTGGAACAAATGCTCCATTATTCCCTTCAACATCCCCCCCACTGACCTCGTGCACGCTGGGCCGATACCCGTCCGAGCTCCCGACGAAGCAGAACGCATCCTTGGAATATATGTTGAGCGACTACACCCCGGCTCCACTACTTGGACTAAAGCTCTTGCTCGCATACAAAGCACCGCCAAATTCCTGGCGGCCTTACATGCCACCGTCACATGCCGCAAGTCTCTGTCATCGATCTTTCTGAACTCGGTCATCTCCTTCCCCGGTCGCTTCCAGCCCGCACCGCCGGACACCATCAAACGAATTAACATTTCAGTCGGAAACTTCCTCTCGTCCTCAAAACATAAACAGGATGGCCTCGCACAACGCTTCCTCCCCAATGGTCTCCTTTACAACTCACCCCAAGACGGCGGGGTTGGTGCGATCGCCCCATCTACCCAAATCAAAGCCCTCACTATCCAGCGTGCCCTGCGCAGATTTGGACCCACCCCGTCCGAGGAAGTCACACGGACCCTGACACCGTTCCCCTTCGGGCTACATGGCCTGCTCTCCCATAAAGCCATTCTTGAACGAGACTACCTTCCCTCCTTCATCCCCCTCGGGCACTGGACGAACTCAAAACCCTCCTCGCTCTTCCCCTGGTTATCCATGGCCCCCCCCTACGCATGCAGTGCATCCTCACCGAACCTCTCGCCTTCAACCGGTTGCTCCTCAAACCCGACGAGCGACCTTTCGGCACCCGCCAACATGAACGATTCCTGCTCACACGACAACTCCGCATCGGACACATTGTCCGAATCACCAATTTCGACGTCAGCCCTATCTCGGCTCAAGAGTTCTGCTCCCAACTCCCGGAGGAATTTCACGACGACGCCACACGCCTCCTCCCAGATCTCATCAAGGCTATCAAGCCTCCCTGGTGGGCCGGCCTACGATCCCCTCACCCATCCTCTGCTTCCCCAGGAGATTGGTTCATGCCTTCAGATGACCACTACTCCATATCTCACCTCGCTATCCAGGTCGTCGACTTCATCCCCCCCTCTTCCGTCTCGGCTACTGTCCACCCCGTCTCGCCCAACCATCGCATCGGCCGCACCCCAATAAACACCGGACTCTTCCGTTTACACGATCTCATTGAGGTCTGTGTCAGGGAGTGGTGGCTCGCAGGGCCACTTCATACTGGGACAGGGTTAGGAGCTAGGGTAGAACTTCTACAGGACGGCATCCCCAGCGTCGCCGACATCCGCCGTCTCCTCTACTCCACGCAGCCGCTTACTCACCACAGTCGATGGACCCGAGACCTCACCCTTCCTCCTCCCACTCTCCCTGGCCTTAAGGATCCCTTTCTCAAAGACCAGCCGAGCCGCCAACGGGATATCCTTTTCAGACTATACACACTAACCCTTCCCTCTGGCTCACGCTTCCAATATTTTGACGACCGAGGGATTTGCCCCCGGTGTCCTGCTGCTGTTGTCGAGACACTGCCGCATATCTTCTTCGAGTGCGCCTCCGCCGGAAACGTCATCTCTACTCTGCGTACAGTCGCTGACCGTCACCTCGGACAGACCCCCCCCGCCGAACACATCTTCTTTCCGATACAGTCACGAGTTGGACAGTCCCCCCCATGGAGCTTACTAGTAGGAGCTGCAGTCAAGACACTGTGGAACAGCCGCTGTGACCACAGGTACCGCAACTCCTCCTCCTCGAGCTTCGAGATACTGCAGCTCATCTTAGCCCAGTTCCTCATCGCCTTCAAAATTTATATGTGGAGAGGCAAACGCCAATCGGCCAAGAAACGTCAGCGTATATCATCCAGCATCAAGCGAGCACAGAAACTCCGCTTCCTCCTCTTCGACAGGACCGGTACACCCTCTATTCACCCCGACCTAAGATTCTCCTGGCTCTTGGGAAACCCGTTCCGACCACCATAGACGTCCATCGCATAGAGCGTCTCCCCAGGCAGCTCGCGGTTGTCCGCGAGGACAAGGAATAACGTGTGTTCCACGTGCTCCGCTACGGATGCTGGCCACCTCGGCCATGTTTCTAGACTGCTCTATGGATTAATCTTTGTACATTGATTACGATCAATATATAACCTTAACATTAACCTTAGCGGCTTTCCAATCAGGTTCAGCAGTGGGGCGATATGCGACGATGAGAAAAAAATCTTGAGACCAACAGCCGAATTATATGGGTGAAAAGGTCGCAGAAAGAAAGTGAAGTAGCAGCTAATCGGCTGACGGCTTGCCGTTCGATTGACGCGTTCAAAAATCTCGCCTGGCGGACCAGACATTTCGCGAATAATTGTCATCCGAGTTTCGCACATCGCAGTGTTGTGGTGGACGCACCCATTTCGCCAGCTGTGGTGAAAGAACCGGGGGCTAACATTTCTCAAAACCAGCCTGATTATAACCTCCATTGCAAGTCTGAGCCATTACATAGTTACAACTATAGAAAGTATAGTTACAACTATAGATACTGAACACATACAACCAACCCCCCCCCCCCCCCCCCCTCAAACGAAAAAACCAAAATAAGCAACTCTCTGAGGTAGGTAACAATGAAATGCAACCTAGCTGGTTCATAGCTGGGTCTCGCCATAAGGGCAAGCTGACTCAAAAGTCTCATTCTGGCGCCATTCTGAGTCGACTCAAAATTCTGCAGCAGAGGCGAGGAGAATGGGGCAACAGACGAAGATATGAATGCTTATAGTAAGGGCATTGGAACGATGTAGGCAATGTGTGCATGACAGCGAAAAGGGACTGAGATACGGCAAAAGGCGAGATGACGTTGCTGTGGACAGAGACATAGGCGTCAAAAGGACGTAGGCGGCAGAAAGAGGTGGGCGTCGGAAGGACATAGGCAGTGTGGGCATGACAGGGGCAAGAGGGCGTTGCGATGAGCTGAGACACGCCAAAAGGGAAATCTCCCTTCAGAGGAAGCCAGATGATGAAGTGGTGTTTTGAGCCCTCTCAAAACAGTGTGTGCATGACAGAGACAGAGGCAAGAGGGCGCTGCGGTGGACTGAGGCATGCCGCAAGGCAAGAAATGGGAACGTTGCATGGCAGAGGCAGAGGCAAGAGGCATGGTCAGTGGACTGAGACATGCCAAAAGGGAATTCGCCCTTCGGAGGAAGCCAGAGTGAATCATGCCCTTCACAATCACGAACTTCACAATCACGCCCTTCACAATCATGTCCTCTGAACCTACCATTGGTGCTGCCGGTGCTGCCAGTGGTGCCGCCAGTGGTGTATTTTGAGGCGCCTCAAAATACAATCATGTCCTCTGAACCTACCATTGGTGCTGCCGGTGCTGCCAGTGGTGCCGCCAGTGGTGGTGCTGCCGACGGTGATGCTGCCACTGCTGCCAGTGCTGCCAGTCCTGGCGGTGCTGCCACTGCTGCTAGTGCTGCCACTAAAGCCACCGCTTCCAGTGGTGGTGCTGGTGCCGTCAGCAGGGGTGTCAGCAGAGGTGTCAGCAGGGGTATCAGCAGGCGTATCAGCAGGGATATCAGCAGGGATATCAGCAGGGGTATCAGCAGGGGTGTCAGCGGGAGTGTTGTCAGCAGGGGTGCTGCCGGCGGTGGTGCTGCCGGTGGTGCTGAGCGCAATCCGGCGCGTATTGACCTTCCTGCTTGCTGTCTCCGCCTCTGCGCCTTCCCCATACGCGCCTTTCAGCATGGTTCGCAGCATGCTACGGTGTGTCATGATTCTTTTCACTGAGTCGTCGCCATTCGCTGCCTGCATCATCTGAGCTGCTGCAGAGGACAATGGAGAGGGTGTGCGGTGAGGAGAGAGCGGATATGAGAGAGCGGATATTAGAGCACAGATGTGAGAGTAGAACGGGGAAAGAAGAGCGGGAGGGTGCGGAAAACGAAGCGAGCAGGAGAGGCGGAGGGAACAGGAAAAAAGGCTTAGGGATCACAGGAATGGGAGAGCAGCAGACTGACCAGCGATGAAGGGAAGGGCGAGCAGCAGGTGCCTTCGAGTCGACTCAAAACATACCTACGGATCAAGGCAAAGTCAAAGGCAAACTGACCGGCGATGAGGGCAAGGGCGAGCAGCAGGAGGCCGGCGGGAGAGGCGCGCATCGCGCCCATGATGATGATGACGGCGTGGGTCCCGCGGGAGAGGCGGCGGAAGAGGTGAAAAGAGGCACAAAAAGAGGCTCAAAGGCGGAACAGAAGCGCTGTGTGCAGTCACGTGGGAGTCACGTGGGAGTCACGGGTATAGAGAGCTGACAGGGATGGGAAGAATAGTAGAGTTGCTTTCCAACGTTTGAAATGAGACTGTGCTGGGCTGTGGCTTATGCTCTGGGCTCGTAATATATTGCGAGCTTACGAGCGAGATTCAGCATGGCAGCCGCCGTGCCCGCCTCGTTACGAAATGGGTAATATTATTATTCGCACAGCAGCCTGTTGGCTCCAGGGAGGCACATATTATGACAGAGCGCGCCGTTGGCGCAGCCATGAGTCACATATAATTACAGGACTGCGATAGGCGACTCGCCTAGGCGACACTGTCGGAATCGGCTTCAGTGAGTTGCGAAGACTAAATCGCTCTGAATCTTGGGAATGTCGCGATGCGTGCGACGGCAGTGATTGGTGGGGCATTCCATGAGTCTGGCGGTGCTGGACTCGAGTGAATCGCAGGGAAGAATTATTTGAAAGAAGCACGTGATGACACGTGATCAACAAACATATAATGCACTGTCGTTGACGAATCACGCATCAATGGCGCAACGCGTTGCTCGTCGCTTTCCAATCAGGTTCGGCAGTGAGGCGATAGGCGACGATGAGGGTTTCACCCCGAGACCAACGGCTGCATTATATGGGAGAATAAAGTCGCAGGAAGATAGCGAAGTACACAATACTATCTGCTGGACGGCTGGCCGTTCAATTGACGCATCCATAACTTGCCTGGCCGGTTGGCCTTCTGGTGCCATCTGACTCTTGTGGATAAGGTCTCTCGCTACTGAGTGCGGAATCCAGGACCTCTGTATACATTATCTTCATTTCGGTTTACGGTATTATTCTATGCTCAACAAGTCAGTCCCAATCATAGCCGACCTTCGTTTGACAATTTTGTGTGCACTGGTGCAGCAGAAGTATGAGAGTGTAAGGAAATTTCCTTTTCCTTACTTCGCGTCCCCACTCAGCGCGTACACCACTGTAGCACCACAGTCAGCACCGTTACCATTCGCAACGCTCGCATCGACAATCCTCCCGCCACCTTCGCACGTCGCACCCCGACCTCATGGCTCGGCGGGTAACCCGCGCTCCGGGCCTCCGCTTCGACATTTCCCCAACCTCAGTCCCAGGCACGACGCGCGACAACCACAGTCCATTACCGTTACCACTGTAGTTTCACTATATATTCTTCGCTCATGCCTTCGCTCATTGTACTCTTGCTTCGATAGTGCAATTCTCGCTCGTTCACTCAATTGCACTCGTAACACTTGGTAATCAGAACCTACGATCTCTTCTCGAACCGCACCCACACCTTCGCTTCCTCACTATCTCAATTTTTGGGGGGGGTAGACGTCTCTCAGCGACACAGCACCGCCGCTCGAAGTGCTCTCTCGTAAGCACGCACGGCCACGACAGAGGCTCTCGCTGAGCTTGCCCGACACCCCCGCCATGGCCGAATTCACACTCGCGACGTTGACGCAGGAACAGCTTGACCGTCTGGTGCGCCAAGTTGAAGAATCGGCGCTCGAAAGTGCGACGCCCACGGCGGAACGTGACTCCGCGCGTCAGCAATCCACGGTGAATACTCCAGCGCCACCACACGCACCGACAAATGCATCTGCACAATCGGACGAGCCAATCGTCATTTCGGCCGGCACAACAACACAACACGACAGCGTGGGACAGCGCTCAGGTGCAGCCAGTGATGGCGCCGCCCAGCCGATGCCTGGCATGGGAGGAAACAGGGTCGCACCAAGCCCGCGGGAGCCTCGTGAAGCCCGTCGGCACGTGGAGTTCGCGGCGACAAGTGGCGAACAGGCCATTATGGCACCAATGCCACTCAAGCCGCAACGCCCGCCTGCTTCGACCCGAGCCAGCGTGGAGGTCCGACGGTTCAATCGTGGGTCTTCACGATGAACGTCTTCTTCGACGCGAATTACGTCGAGTCGGACGCAGCGAAGATCCGATATGCCGTCTCGCTGCTGAGGGGCCCCGCCATGGATTGGTGGCGAGTCATCGAGACGTCGCCACGCGCCTATGAGCCACCGTCGCAAGAGGAAGGGCCCACGGGTCCAGCTGTCATTTGGAGTTCATTCTGCGAAACCGCCCAATACAGCACGTGGGATGCGTGGTGCGCAGGGCTTCGGACGCGCTTCGAGCCGATCGCGGCTTCTATTTCGGCGCGTCAGAGACTGCGTACTTGGCGGCAACTCGGGTCGGTTCAAGACTACACGAGTGGTCTTCTCGCATTATGCGAGCAAGTCGGCTACATGCACGAAGCGGAGCGGGTGGACCGTTACGTCGGAGGGCTGAAGCCAGACATCTCGCACGAAATCATGCTACGCGGGCTCTCGAACTTCAACGAGATTCTCGCGCTCGCCGAGAAAATCGACATTTTGCGCCGTCCGAGACCGGGGTCCTACTACGGACATCGTCCTCGGGGACCGATCGAGCACGCCACCGTACATGCCATTGCGACGAATGCAGCTGCCGCGCCATTTAAAGGGCGCTGCTTTGCTTGCAATAGGCCGGGCCATCGTAAGAGTGAATGCCCAGAGGAGCTGAGGCACCGCGGAGCAGAGCAGGGGAGGGAGTCTCCAAGGCAGGGAAATGCCAGCAGTCAGTAGGAATCGGGCCAACTACTGACGAGACTGCCTGCTCGCCCAACCCCACCGACCCTCACCGAGTCACAGTACCGATTCATGCTATCGATCGGGCTCAGACGAATAAGGAGGGTACAGCGACGGATTGCCCATCACTGATCCACGGGAAAATACAGGGAGCAGCAGTGAAGATTTTTATCGACGGAGGAGCAGGTCACAGTTTAGTTAATACCGCAACCGCACGCAGATTGCAACTGACACTTAGCCGTTGTTTACCTGAGATAGATGCACGTTTAGTTGACGGCACGCCACTGGCCATACGGGAAAAGGTGGAGAGAGTCAAAGTCCGCTGCGGGGAAAATTTCGGATTTACACAGGAAATGCTCACGACGACACTCGATGGGCACGACATTTTACTAGGATGTGATTGGCTGCGACGGTATAACCCGCGAATTGACTGGACGACGGGTAGCTGCACTGTGCGAAGTAGCGGTAACTGGGTTGAGCTACCTCGCTGGCAGTCGCCCGAGTCTTCAACGGTACACGTCAACGCCGTCACCATGAAACGGGCTGTCGCTGTTGGAGCTGACATGTACGCAGTAGACATTTCAGTGGTAGAAGGAGCAGAGCAGCCGAGTGATTTCAAGAAACTGCTGGCAGCAGTACCACCCGAACTACAGGAACTGTTGAAATGATACCCCGGGATTTTCCCCGACGACTTACCGGAAGGACTGCCACCTCAGCGAGCACATGACCACCGAATAGAATCAGAACCGGGGGCACAGCCAACTGTACAGCGACAGTTCAGACTGGCACAGCCCGAGCTCGACGAACTGAAGAAGCAGTTAGATTACTTATTAGAGAAGAAATCCATCCGACCGAGCTCGTCACCGTTCGCCGCACCGATACTGTTCACGCCAAAAAAGGACGGAGGGTTTCGCATGTGCTGTTGAGTGCAATACATGGTTTGCACGACAACCTACCGCCTATTCGCCGGCGGTGACGGAAAATGGGGTGTTCTGGTTGAAGGTAATTTGTGGCGTGAGAAATGTCATTTCATTTTGCATTTTGTGTGTGCGCATTTTGTGTGTGTTCTGTGCGCATTCGTTTTTGCATTTTGTGTGTTTCGTTTTCATTCATAATTACATTTTGTGTTAGTGCATTTTTATTTGCAGTTTCACTGTTCTCATGAAGCGCTCAAATGAGGCTCACATGATGAGCTCAAATGAAGCTCTCATGAAGCGCTCAAATGAGGCTCTCATGAAGCGCTCAAATGAGGCTTACGCGAAGCTCTCAAATGAGGCTCATGCGAAGCTGTCAAATGAGGCTCAAATGAGGCTCAAATGAGCCTCCCATGAAAGTCCCATTTGCTTGCTATGTTTCATGCGTGGCATATGTGAGCGAGTGGTGTATTGTGGGGTATTTGTGGGGCTCGATACTTTGACTTGTCAACGGGGGTGCTGTTGACTTTCGCGCTGGTCAAGCACGCAAAATCTTGACCGCGCGTGTGGTCCTGATTTCGCGTGTGGGCCCTGAGGGCCCGAGCGTGTGCTCGCGCACTGTTGCGAGCGTGGCAGGGCCCACGATCGCAACAAGACAGGGCGAATGATCGCCCTGCCCACGCGCAGAACAGCACGACCAGTTTGTCTGGTCGTGCATGATTGCACACCTAAACATGCGCGTGTGTTTCGAGTGGGTTCTGCGGGATTCCGAAGGGTGCTCGGAATTTACAGTTGAAAAACTGTTTTTCGGAGTTGACTCACGGAACAAGAAATTGCGCACGAAAGTCACACCGCTTTGCGGAATGATTTTGACGCGGGTACAAAACGGTTATTCCGTTTTCTCAACGGTAAAAACCGTTTTACAACTGTTTGCTCGCATGAAATTCGTGAGTGCCAAATTGGAGCTACATTGGAACTCATGAGTGCACTCATTTGAATCAGCAAGGTAATTGTCATATGTGGAATTTGAAGACAGGTATTTTCAAGAGGAGAATCAAGCCAAATTCGCAAGGAGTTGAGCAACCGTTTTCAAGTACAGCATGGCGAATGTCCGAAATTCAGTTTTACAACTACTTTGCTATTTCCCTATGCATGTGTGTTAGGCGAAATGTAAAACGTGTGCTTGTGCTTGATTGTGCTCAATCCTTTCTAGTGGAAATATTTTCTGAATCTCTTCGACGAGTTAAGTTGCTCTATCAACGTATTGACGTGAAGAGCTTTTCTGCACACGAGCCAATCCGTCGTCGAATGCTGCGCAACGAAGTTTGGGAAAGCTCTTGTACGCACGATAATTTTCATACTTAGG